CTCACATCACATAAAGCTGTCCACAAATGGCCTCATCAAACTCTCTTTGATTCACTACCATTGCCAGCACCAACACCACCAGGGATAAGGAGAGAGGATGATGATCGGATGCAAGCAGATGTTGACATAGACATAAACATTTAGTTTAATGCACTTAACATAAGAATGATAAAATTTTAAATATAAAAATCACAAAAATATAGATGGACAGGTGGTTTAGATAAATCATTTTATGAAGAAATATTGATGAAATTGCATTGATGAAAGGTTTGTCTAGAGTTAACAGAAGAATAAATTTTATGGTGTTACTTTCTTATGTTAGATAATAGCACAATTAGTGTTATTATCTAACATATTAGTGATAGTAGTAATCAATACTGCTAATTAGTGGATAGGTAGGATTGGGTGGGAGGAAAGAAAATTGCAAACAAAGCAAAAGAAAGGCTAAACAGGTATTGATTAGTTCTTCACAATTATTGCAATGAATAAACAAATTAATTTCTTTGTACTATTTTCTATTGACATTAGTATATTTTTGAATTATAAACAAAGACAATAAATGTTTTGATTAGACATAAATTTAAAATAAGTGAATGTGAACTGACAAACTAATTTTAAAATCAACAAAGACAGAAATGCACTATGAAATATAATAAGTTTTATAGCTACAATGAAAGTTGCTCTGAAAGTAATGTCTCCTATGTTATTATGTTAGTGCGTGATGCCAGAACTGGTGATACAGCAGTAGAGACTTAACCTTCACAACAATAACCTATATTTTTTTGGTTTGTTATAGATACCAGGTTAAATGCAGTCTGACAAAAGGGTGTCTAACATGAAAGTGCATACAAATTAGGTGTTTATTGAATTCCACCATGTAAAAAAAAATGATACCTATTAGCATTTACTGTGAGTTGCAGAACATTTATGGTAACCAAAAAAGGAATATAAGCACAGACATTGGGTAATGCGTTTCAGCAATGATGACAGAATTGTGGGGGTCACCTGTTGGTGAAGGCTTTTACAAGCACAACATGCAGGCTGTTGCTGATCACTGATGAAAATGTCTAACCAATAGACGTGACCATGTGGAAAATATTGCATGGTAGCTGAAAATTTATCTTATATAACACTGTTATTGTGCTTCCTGTATCTGTTGTAATTTCTGGGGAAATGAATAGGATGTATTATTTTTGGAGCATCAGTTCTGCATCATCAGGAATTAATGATATTATGCTCTCCTCAGAAACATTTTACTAGACTGCTAATGGGATTGTGTACCAATCAGCTAAAGTTGGGAAAATTTGTGTCTATTTTGGGAATGCACCATTCTGTTGCTGCTTGAATTGGTCAATCCACTCATAACTGGGAAGGATTTACTGCTTTGTCTGCAAGACCTATATATAATACAAACTTGGTTTCTATCAGAATTCGGTTCAATTTAATCTTGGTTCTCTCAATAACAATAGCCCTTGTAATTTTTGTTCAGACAATGAAATCAAGCCCTACATATAGATATAAACATATCTACACATGCTGTGTACATATATCTATATAATAAGCCCTATATATAGATATAAACATATCTACACATGCTGTGTACATATATCTATATAATAAGCCCTACATATAGATATAAACATATCTACACATGCTGTGTACATATATCTATATAATAAGTAAATGTGAATGTCAGTATGTCACTGTGTCACGTATTTTCAACTTTACCCTTAGAGGCTATAACCCAACACATCATACCATTTTGAAATCAGGCCAACTCTGTGAGCAAATTAAAAACATTCCGGGTCGGATCTCAACGTGCATTCCCGAAATATTGGATTCCTAAATTTTCATTACTGCAATTATTTTTATAAATGTTTTCCAACTTGTTCCTTAATTAATTATTCTACACCCCCCTACACACACATGCGCATACTATGTTTACATGATTTTTTGCAACATATTTTCTTTGTGCAATAACAGATTTTATAACTTGGAAATAAATTCAAGAATAATCAAAATTAAATGCAAAATCCAGCGAAAGTCACCCATGAAATAAAAATAATTGTTCGTACAGAAAGTAAAAACCTTTGTACATCAAATTGTCTTTAAATTAAGTGGCAGCAGAAGAATTATCATTGAACCTTTAAAAGGAAATCTTAAATATTAATTCAATACTTAAATGCAGCATTCAATTTTGAGTTCTTCTGTAGTTTATTGTTGCCTATTGCATCAAAATTGTTGCAGCATTCCTAAATCAATCTTCCCAAGCCAGATCTATCTCCCACAACAGTTTCCTAATCTTCCACATTAACACCAAGAGTCATTAGGTTACATTTAACTACATCCATGAGATTTTTGGGAGCTTATGAGCAGGTCATAAGACCCCAAAACATATGACATGTATGTATAGGGTGCGATGGGTAAATTGTCACTATTTTATATTTTTAATTCTACACATGTGCATTGTTTGTTTTTGATTTTGTCAACTGCACAGTATAACAGGATCAGTTGTGCACTGTCTGTGAGAAAAAAAGTATCATGACACAATTTACTCCACCAAAAAATTGGAAATGGCATGCTGTACTGCTTGGCATTCTTGCTGGAAGCTCCAATATGAATATTTCAGAGTGTTTTTGTGTCAATCTGAAGACAGTAGATGTAGTGATAGTGATAAAAACCAAATATCCAGTTAACATTATAGTGTTTGGAGTGATCACTAGTGATGGCGATGTTATGCCTCCATTCATCTTCCCACAGGGCCTCAGACTCAATACGAAGGCCTACATCAAGTGCTTTGAGGAAGTGGTGCTGCCCTGGGTCAAGAAAGTGACTGCTGGAAGAACCTATATCTGGCAAAAGGACTCTGCACGATGCGACACAAGTAGGAGAACCCAGTCATGGCTGTTAGACAATTTCTGTGACCACATCATCCCTTACATCTGAACACTTAACTCCATAGACTGCAACCCCCTTGATTATTATATGTGGGGTGCAGTTGAGTGAGTGACCAACAAAACTCCTTGCGATACCAAAGATGAACTTAAGGCAAGGATTTTGGCAGCATTCACCAACTTAAACAAGCAGACCATGCAGAAGAGTTGCAGAAGATTCTGAAATCATCTGGAGACTGTGGTTGAAGCCAATGACATATTTATTGAATAAATTTAATCTTCATTATTTCAAGATATTTTTGTGTAATTTTGGTAAAATGAGATGTCAGTGTTTTTTCATTTTTGCATAATTTAGATGACAATTTATCCATCGCATCCTGTATGATACATACATACATACATACATACATGATGGCTGTCGACTCATTAAACAAGTATGACCATTGGTGACAAGTTTGATCAATGTTTTAAGTTATCATGAGAATGATATCAGCTCTTAAATCCAGAAAGTTTCTTACAAATCTTATTGCAGATAATGGCACAGCAAATTGTTCTGTACAGGGCCTGGTCCTTTTTGTAAAGTCCGTTCAATTTTCTCATGGGTTTTTATGTGACAGGTGGGACCAGAGCAGTTTCTGCATGTTTTCCAAGACCCGCTGCATATTAAATTATTTCCAATGCTGTACTGATCATAGTTTTTTAATATAACTCTTCCTGTGGTTAATGGAGTCTGCTTTGAAAAAACTTACTCTGTAACATTTAGCACATATAAATTGACAGATTTCTGGATGATTTACCCTTTCTTAGCTGCACACTTGACATCTGATCAGCTCGGTACATGTTCTTGTAAGATTTTAATGCATTCATGAATTGTATGCCTCTACATTTCAATCACAAACAGAAATTTCCCATACTGGATCTTCTATATGGCAGGCCACAAGAGCCTTTTTAACATCCTTGGTGATTCCATGGTTTATGCTGGGGTTGAGTGTTTTATAATAATTTACCATATGCTTGGGTATTCTGCTGTCATGAAAGAAAATCCTGCACTAATGAATGTGCACTTCAATGATGATTGGATTGGCCTTTTTGTGTCTGGGGTATGGAATATCCAGTAGATATAGATAACAAGAATCAATTTTAAAGAACACTGGGGGAATCTTTCTAGAATATCTAAGTGTATGCAACCCATGTTTCACAGGAGTATAGCAGGCACATCAGTACGTGGGCATTGTAAACTGGCATTTTTGGTTTTCAAGGAATGAAGACAAAACAACATAGAATTTAAAAATCAAAACAACTCTGCATTATTCCGCTAAACAATGAAACATGTTAAATTTATAAATGTTTTCCTACTTGTTCCTTAATTAATAATTTGATCCCCCCCACACACACACATGCTAACAGTATGTTTAAAAGAAATATAAATGTCGAAGTTAGCTCCTCCTTAGCTCCTCCTTAGCTCCTTAATCCTTCACCAGGGGTCTCTCTCCCCTGGTTATAAATACTCGTTGACCCTTCGCCTCTTCTTCTTTTTGCCTCAGGCTTTCAGCCTTATACCACCTCGCAGATGTGAATGCTCACAGATACAGTGTTTCCCAAATGCTGGGAACACACTAAGAACAATACACGTACGTACGAACACTCACCACAACATACACTCATAATATTTACCACACACACTCTGTCCATGTAACTGTCCATGTAACTTGTAACCTTTCTTGTTATTAATACATATATTTGTTTACATATATTTATCGGTCTTGTGTGTGTTTGTTTTTCCTTGTCTTCTTTGGACTTAATTAAAGTCCAACTTTCTCATGTAGTTGGACCGGCTAGCAGGAAATCTTAACCCAGGTGTGTTTTACATACAACATCACCACAGCCACGGTCCTCTACATTAAACATTTGACTCTTATTGAGATGATTATGTCTCTAGCTTTTTACAAATTTTAGTCTTGTAATTTCATAGCAAAATGTTTATCAAAATATATTACTGGTTTTTACTGGTAATATTATTTTCACACTAATTTCATACAAATTTTCAAAAAAAAATTACTTTTTCAGAATATAATTTCATTATTCTTTCAGGACATGTCTGGTTCAATGATAATGCAGCCAGCCATAGCCTTTGAAGGGAAACTTAACTCGATTGTTGTTGAAGTAAGTTTTTAAATAAACTCTAACTTTCTCAGTTCATGCATTGATCATTGTTCAGTCAATAGCAAAATGAAATGCATATACAATTTTTACTGGTTATAGCATACAGAGACTTACAAAAATGGGAAATATTTGTCCACATATATCTTTCTAATAATCTACTGTCAAGAATTACATCTTGATTTCCTCATACCAATGAGCTCTCCTACTCGATGTCAGAAAATGAAAGTAAATAAGCCTGTTTCCTTCTGGGATAAAAACCTAGTCTGTTAAGCATGAACTAAACAGTCCATGCTCAATAGGTATTCCACTAGTTATATATAATTGAGATTGATTAAAATCCTATTGTTCCTAGACCACCAATAAATCCATTGGGTTCCTTTTAAAAGCAGTTCCTGATACAAAATCATGAGGTAACAATATTATCAATTTTATTACTAATTACACATATATTAATTTGTATTTGCAATACAAGTTATTGTGATAATTATTATTACTTACATTATACAATAATATTTAGATCAAACTTAGTATTTACCATATAATTTTCAAAGGTAAAAGGCATTAAAAAAACAAACAGCATTTGTCTACTAAGGGAGATTCATATTTATTGTAATAGCAAAAAATATGGATGACTCTTTTTTTGTGCACTTAGTTTCATTTTTTTCTAGGTAATTTTTTCAAAATAATTATAATTTTTATTATATATACTTCTATCTTCCTCACACTTATTTCAAAATATGTAACAGTTGCAAACCAGACATTCAAATTATGTTTTACAATGACAAACCCACTTTGACACACTCTTTACTTATTAAGTAGTTGCGAAACATTTGAGATATTTCTTTATAAAAAAAATTCTAATGTAGTGTAGTGAATTGTATAAATTGTATGTTGTATTATGTATATTTAAATTTAATTAATAATGTCATTATCGTGTATTATGAATGTTTATTATTTTTCATACATAGTTGGAATATGCAAGTTTGTTTATATACACAGATTGATATAAGAGTGTGTATCAAAAACAAATACTGAATTTCCTGTTAAAAATGCTATAAAAACAGAAAAATGGCACTAGCTCAAAAAGCCCTAATCTACTTTTAATGAAATTTGGCATTCACTCAGTTGGTGTTCAAGGTACAGTATGCTCCTAAATTGGTTGAGTTATTATGAATTATTTAAGCTGTATCTTGAGAACAAACATATATCCATACAAGATTAGAATTTTAGTATTATATAGATTAATATTGTCTTTTTCATTATAATGTTAATATTAACATTGAGGTCCAGTTGATAACAAAAATACAAGATAAACAAATCCTGGACACATTTTGAAAATTTAATTAAATCCCAACTCAAAAAGTTTTTGAAGAAAAACATGGGCCATATGGTTCTCCTACTTTCAATGTAAATATATTTTAGAATCAATATTAGTAGACACTAAATCTCTAATCAATATGTCTAGGAGACTGTTGCATGAACTACAGAACTAACAAGAGCCTTGTTCAAGTGTGTTGTTTAGGGTACCATAACTCATGCTAACAAAACAGGAACGAGGAGTAACACATATCAATGTAGATGAAAAGTGAGAAGGAGGATTTATTTACAGTTTTGCCTCAGGCAGTACAAAAAAATGATTAGAGAGTTTGTGTTGAGCTTCTGCCTCTCATATGTAAAAGTTGGTATTACATCATAGTTGTAGAAAAAGATGATGTGAGTAAAATGTAAAAGCTTTATCTCATCATAGAAGGGGAGATTTTCATCACATTTGAGAAAAGATCAAAGTACATATTAATCAAAGCCCCGTATTAAAAAACAACAAAGATGAAACTAGTAATAAAATATGAAAATATATTATCTCAGAATTTCAGAGAACAATTGAAAATGGTTTGTTAAAAAAAAAATCCAGAACAATTAAAATGCAAACCTCTCTTTATATAGTTTGCATAGAAATTTTCTTTTGTGCTATTACAAGAGTTCATGAAATGCAGTGAAATATTATTATTGACACTATTTACATCATTCAGACTGATTACTAGTTTCATCTTTGTGGTTTTTTAATACAGGGCTTTGATTAATGTATACTTTGATCTTTCTCAAATGTATTTTGCATCCAGTGGTTTTTAGAAGTTACTGAGTACTTTTCTGTTTTCATATCTCTAACTAAAATATCAGTCATAGAAGAGACAAGATTAAGAGCTCCTCTGTACCTATCATTATCTTTTTCATTTTTTATTGATTCCTATTATGAGAAATATTAACAAGTTTCTAATGACATAAATTCTTTTTAAATGGCTTTGTATGACTTATAAGTTTTAAAATGAGCATTAGTATTGTTAGGGTATATTTTTTTCTGTAATGTTAGTAGTAGTAGCATAAAACCCAATGAAATTAAAAATATCTGTCTGTTATTACAGAATTAACTTTTGTTTTATTTAAGGTGTTAATAAGTTCATAATGTCAGAGCTTAACTTCAGTGATTTTCTATTAAATTACAAAAATTTTAACCTGATTCGCTTTTTATGAAAGCTTCTGATTATGTATAGGCTTTTTGATTGAGTCATTCATTTTCTATGGCTTATCAACCCTTTGCAGGTTATTTAAAGCCAGAAAATATGTTCAGTTTGTAACAATTTTTTTGACATAATGATGGTTTAGTGAAACCTGTCCTACTAATTAAGTCATAGCTGGTAGGCGGTGGGGGAGAAATTCATACTTTTCCCAAGGGTATTTGCACGTAAGTGAATATAACAAACCCAGCGAGAATTGGAACTCGGCTATCCAATTAACAATTCCAAGCCATCTGCACATACAAGTATTCCCCAGTAGTCACCCATCTAAGTACTGACCAAGCTCAACATTGCTTAACTTCAGTAATTCTACTGGGAACTAGTATTTTAACGTAATGTGACTGTAAGCAATATTATGTATACAAATGTCCAATGAAGTCATTTAAATTGAGTTATTTAATTTTTTCATTTCCATAGATTTGTTTTCATTTTAATCCATATCTCTTATTTACTCTTGCTATTACTAGTAATTGGAATTGTATCACATGTATTTCACTCTAATTTTCTCATCTATAATGCTATCTTAGAACATATACTATAACTGTGACCAAGAGAAATTGTTATAGTTATTGCTACTTTAATGAATTGCTTTTGGCACCATTTAGAGTAAAGTTGTTTGCATTTATTTAATTTATTTACTACTCTGTCTAGTTAATAATTGTTATGAACTAATTATAACTCTATTCAGTCTTTATTAAAATGATTTTTACATATTTATTTTTCCAGTACTTTGAGTTTGGAGGTTATGTTTCTACATTACAAGCTTTTAAAAGTGAATGTGAACAAAATTCAAGGCCTATTTCCTCAGCCCCTGTCAACGCGATATTGGATGAGAAGTCTAAAGCTAGTAAGGTATCAATTTTATTTGCTTATTTAGTTCTACTTTTTGAAAAGAATTAAGCATATTTTCATAATGGTTTTTGATTTTAGCAAATCTTTCATGCCATATTTTGGTGTTTATTATATATATATATATATATATATATATATATATATATATATATTGTTTATGTGTATGTTTTACATGTTAGAATAAAAAAAATCAAAATAAAAGTTTAGTAAAAGCTAGTAACATTAATTAAAAAAATATAATATTTAAGAAAGATAAATTGTATTTGGAACTGATAGAAGCAACTTCTGATTTAGCTGTGACTTATCAAGCAAAATGAACTAAGAATGACCAAAACTCATTACACTTCAAACAACAATAGCTTTGATGATATATGTGATTACAAGTAACCAAAATCACTTTGGGGAGATTTATGATTAAGATAACTTTGAAGTTAAAGCTGAATGACCTAGAATAAATGACCTAGACTACTTATCTTGTTTCAAGAACATAATATATGACTCATGGGACCTATATAACAAATGTGTTTCCCAGTATAATAATTGTTCATCTTAAAGCTTGATTTGTCCCCTGGTATCTAATTATTAAGAGAAGGATCGCTTTGTCTCCATCTTCATTCTATCAGCTTATAGTTGCATCTCTGTCCAGATGTTTCTATGACTTCATTCACATGTAAATTCATCATTACTGTATGGCAGAATAAAAGCAAAGATTAAAAACTCAACAGGCATCAACATATCAATTTGTTTATTTTAATTACATTCTAGCAAACTGGATAATGAAAGAATTACCATGAACAGATGTTGAAAGGATCTTCAACATTCAAGACTGTAAACACAATGAACTGCTGGAACATGAAAAAATCTTGCAATGAGGTCAAAGTTCAAACTAATACAAATAAATAGAAGAGAATCGTGTTATCATCATATTTATATATGCATCTGAACAAATATAAGAATATGTATTTATATTTTCAAAGAGTAATTTTAAGAATAATGTGATCAAAATAAATTTTTCAGAAAATTCTTATGGAAACCTTCACCTTGGGTAAACGAAAAGCTTTTCTCAAAGAATGGAAGGCATACATTCCACAGGATATACGGGACTCAGACATGGTTGCCAAGAAACTAGAATTCTCTCTCTGGATCCATTTTACTGTCTACCCTATTCGCCATGACCTCCCTCCAAGAGTAATAATTTTATTTTTACTTTGCATTCTTTTTACAATTCTTTTATTCATTTTTAAGAAGGCAATTTACAATGCTTGGAAATGCCATAGAGGTTGTCTTTTTTATTCTGTGCATTGTTTTTTTTAAATTATTTTTTAATTAGTTCAGTAAATGTCTTATTTTCAGTAATAATTTATAATCTTGTTCAACTAAAAATGTTGCCACAGTAAAATGAAGGCAATTCTCAATCTTGCAAATATCTGCAATGCATGAGTATAAAATGCTGAATTGTAGATATAACAATATGCTAAATAGATATGATTTAACCAATCAGATAAGTATGATTATCTAATGCATAATTAAGTATTTCTTACATATTAACTATGATTACTTTGTGCAAAAACCAATAACACCTTAGGCTTCTTTTAATTTGGATTATTCTCTAGGTAGTAACAAAAATAGATGCTCTTTTTTTTCAATATTTACCTATAAAATGTGATAATGTTTTCAGTGCTTCATGAACCCTACATATTAAACATAAATTGTAATGCATGAATCTCATTAGGCAAATTATTTTTCTTGTTTTATTTAACATTTACATTGGTGTGCATTCATTGAAATGATTATGTGGTTGATGTGTGTTTTATGTTCTTTTTGATATTCATTAATAGTACATTCCTTAAACTGTTAAATCAAAGTTGGTAGGATTTAAAAAAAAAGTTTTCCCTCTAAATTTTCATTACCCTTCAGCATCCAAATTATATAATCTCTTCTTGTTAACCTTTTACTTGTCAGTCCACTTTATTGGTAAATTTTCTATATTTTAATCGGTGCAAAAATTGTTCTAAAAATATATACAAATGGACATTTGCTGTAGTTTAATTTGGTGGAAATTTACTGAATTTATATAATACAGGAATCAACATTATGGTATCGCTATGATATCTTTCCTATGGAAAAGAGATAAATTATGTAATTTTATTATTTTTAAGTTGTATTATTTCTTTTTTTGTTTTTAGGAGGCTGAACAAGCTATGTCAGCATTCAAGAATTTTCTTGAAACTCAGGGAGCAGATTTGAGCCAAACAACAGAATTTCTTCCATTTTATGCTTTACCATTTGTACAAGATCCTAAATCTCATCCTTCTTACAAAGAACTGTTTAAGGTAAGAAATCATACCATAGATTCACTTATGACCAAAATTTTATTGTAATGTAATGATCACTATCAATATAAATCACTAGCATTTATATTAAACTAAATTTTAGATAGATTTTGAAATGAAAATACAACAGTTCAGCCTAAGTTCTTCATGTGAGTGTAGCTTTCCTTACTCTTTTTTACTGTGATGTTCACCCTGTACCAGGCCTAGGAGCTACTCAAGGTAGAGGGTTACAGAGTAAGAGGGACACTTTATGCAGATATGGATAATTGTTAACCATAGGCATGAACAGGTTAAGATTGTAATGATCAGAGAAGCATCCTCTTGGGAGTCAATTCCATAAAACAGTGGCTCATGAGAAGAAGCTGCTCAAGTGGAACTTACATCTTACCAATGGAATGCAAAAGGAATGAGGGTGGTTCACTATAATGTGCAAAGCATGGTGGGTCCTAGCCATAAAGGTTAGAATTGGTGGAATCTGAGCACTTTCCATGTGAATACCAATAGAGCAGTGAGAGGTTTGCAATGTTTTTTTACTGTGAGAAAGGGTAGAAAATAATTTGTCACCGACAAGGATCTTGAGATGCTTTTGGACTCTATCATATATGGCAACAGTACTCCATTTTAGATCTGATCTGGCTCTTGTAAAGGTAGTGGATAGCACAAGGAGTCATGTACTTACTGTAGTGGCACAATAACATTTTTTTCAGCATCTTTAGCAATGTATAGTAGGTACAAGCTCCACTTGAGGTCTTGGCTAAGTTTAAGTTCCAATACAGCCTCAAGGCACAGGACTTCCCTGAGGTAACATCCATTCATCATGATTAATGATAGTTCAGGGTTCAATCTGTTATGATGGAATGTAACTAGTTTGGTTTTCAATTACTTGCTAGAATAGTGAGTTGTAAAAGTTTATTGTGTTCACATCTGACTTTTGTTAAGGAATTGTCTCTTCTAAACATCTGTATATTATAGGTTAGATTGATGTAAAAATTTCCAGGATTCTTTTAACATAATCTTTCACTCATTTAAATTCACAGCATTTCAGTCATCAAAGTATCTTCTCTGGTTGTCAATAACTTTATGCTAAATCTCATCTATATTGTATATTCCCACATAAAAGAACGATGCTAGTTTTGATTTAATGAATTCTTTGAGGAATTTTTCAGTATGTTGAATTTATTAATGACTGATCAGACAAATAATGTTGCCATGGAGTAAAACAAGTGATAATCTCAAAGTGAATATATTGCATGTGGAAGAATTTCCTACCACAACTCCATGATTATTTGCTTTTGCTGCATTCTATTTGTAACACGATGATAGATGTTATCATGGTAAACATAATCTGTTGATTTTATTGTCAGTAAAAAGGTTTTTCCTGGTCTAGTGCATTATTCAAATGAACCATTTGCTCACTCGAACATTGTGCAGTCCAGTTTCCAAAAATTGGTAATAAGGAATTCCTTTTAAAGCATATAAAACATATTGATGGGTGTTTAATAATATCACATCAGGTTGATAAGTCACCCAATAATGAGGGAGGTATGAAAGAAATTACTATTCTCTCAGTTGTATCTCCCACCCCAACCCATTATGCATATTATTATATCCATGGCATAATAACATCTTAATACATGTATGGAATGGAATAGCTGAAAGAAAAGGAATAACAACTGTGTTTTGTTCTCAGAGAGAGTTTTATGTCACTAAGTCATACACTAAATTATATATATACATATTTACATTTGTCCTATGAGGAGAAACTATAACATGTATTCAACAACAAGCAGAATGAAAGATAGATGAAAAGAGAGGTACTTACTTGTAATAATTCCCAACAGGAATTGGATCTGCCAGAAATTCTTTTCTGTTTCTGAGGAAGCCATATTTATGATTTCATATTCAAGCAGGCCAGATTTATCTTCTATGCCAATGGGAAATGGAGAGCTGTGGGTTTTCTCAACTTGAGGACTGTGATCCATAGAAGTTTCTATATCTGGTTAAGATATATTTCCATAGGAAAACTGCACCATAGGCTTGTCAGCTTCACTATGTGACAGCTAACTGGTCCATGCAGAAGCCCACGCAGAACAAACAACTTGTGTGTCTTGACTCCTGGAAACTGACTATCGGACTGACCACTTTCACCATTCTATGAAGTGATGTCACTAAGCAGTCATCACATGACCCATGTGACTTCATCTTGACCAAAGAGAGATAATCGGCCTTTGTATCTTTGCAATACAAAAGTACTTATTTTCCTTCAGTAGATTCCATTTAGATTCAGATTTTGAAGACTGGAACAAGTCCTTTTTGTTCACTTTGGAGTTTCATAATAAATCCATTCTTCATTGCCAGTAAATAACTCATATAAATACTCATTTTTTTCTTTGTTGAGCAAAAGAAAGACAGGTTTAAATGTTTACCACCAGTATATTTCCATAAGTGGCTTTTCAACCCTAGCTTTTCCTTACTTCATGTAGAAGCCATTTTCTTAGCCTTTTAAATTTTCTAATGATGTACTTCAGTTGGCTGTAATAAGCATAACAAATAAAAAATGGCAAGATAACATTTTTCTTTTCAGTACCAATTTAACATTAACCCAAAACACATATTTCATTCCTGAGATCAAAAAAAATTAAACTCAATTTACCAATCAATTTTGATTTATAAGTCTACCCACACAGTTTTAAAGATATTGCTTTCTACTGGAAGTACAAAAGTAATACAATATAGAACTTCTTGTGACAAATTAATGAAAATTGATTTATGTTTTTACTGTTTTTCAATTTCGCTTTTCTTCTTTAAACCAGCCTTCCTGGGTGGAAGATTTACAAGCCAGATTGGAACAGTTCATGGTCATTACTAAAAAAGTCGAACAACCACAATTATTTCATCTTTATGTATCCTTTTCACACTTCTGTATATAACATGTTGATCTTTTTAGACTGTTGGCTGTTAATGTCCAATTAGAAATACAATACTGTTCAAAAGTCTTCTGTTGCTTTATTGCAAATTTCTAATAATTAACAATTTATTAGTAGATATTTAACATTATGTCTTTTATAATTAGAAAATTTGTTTTAAATCATATTCATAATTAATCATCATATTTTGCAGCAGACTTTCTCACTGAGATGAGAAATGATCCCCACTGTCTTGACCAAAGTGTCTGTGCAAGTTTTTGGCTACTTTATATAAACCAAGCTATATTTAAGGTGATTTTTTTTTCTAATGAATTCACCCAAGCAAGGCAATTATACCCTCAAGACACAAGGGTCTACTGGGAGTTAATGAGAATGAAAATACTTTAGAAGGAACTGGAAACAAAGGCTGGTGTGTACTAACCCAGAACTTCACCTACCCAGTGGAAGAGCCTTATCATGGGCCCCAAGCAGGGATTTGTGACACTCAATACCTTATCAATATATATATGCTTTTTTCTACCTACCTTTATGTACGTTACAAATTAAGCTAAGCACAACTGACTATTAAAGGATGAAAAATTTTTGTGGATTTTGACGTTACTCTGGGTTCTTTTTTTGTCCAAATCCATGAACTTGTTTTGCTCATGCTAAGTTTGGAAAAATGACTATATAAAATTCACTTTCTTATCCATAATGTTGAGAATGTGTTAAATTATTGAACTTTTTAACAAGAAAAATCTCCAGTTTATGTTAAAAATTGCCACAAACATTGTTGATTTATTTAAGATGAAATGATCTATTATGACATGTCTCTAATTTGTATTTAGATACACTATTTATTTTCAATTTTTCTAGTTGAATTGATAACCTATATTGCATATGATACATTATTGTATACAATTAGGTTATAATAAAATTTGTATTTTATATGAATACTACCTTATGAAAACTGAGATGTATTAGAGTGGGGCCTTGTATCATAGATTGGGGGCAGTATCACAAATTTAGGGTATATCATAGATTCAGGGACATATCATAGCTTGTGGTGGGGGCACATTTGCACCAATGCTGCTGGAAACCCAATCCTAAACAGGAAACAAGAAATAAACATTTACACCTGTTCATAAGACCAGGGTGGAGAGGAAACCAGACAATAGGTGAACATATCTGCCCCTGTAAAATATCTATTATTTATAGATGATTTTAAATACATGCATTTTATAAAGCAAATGACTTGAGCAGTATTTAAAAAGATTTGATTAACTCTAAATACTATAGTTTTATCTTCTGATTAACTTGTTTCAAAAATTCTGGAAAGATTATGCCATACTTTTTGAGATATAGTAAAGAAATATTGACAGAAAATAAACTTTTAATTTCATTTATTTTAATCTCATTTCAAAAGTATTACAGTGTTAGTAGGAACAAATGATGATGATATAATGACAGACAATTTATTATTGAAGAGAGAACATTTGAAATTTGTGTTATCTCCTAATTCTTGTTCATTTTAGTTGGACGCGATCTAATTCCCAAATCATATCAATTTAATTGGGGAAAAAAAAATGCTCCATATTATGAAAATTCATATCTGAAAATGCAAAGCTTTGTGTACATATTAACATTCTGCAAATTTGCATTATGGTCTTCCATATTAATTATCATTGAAATAAAGAGCAACATTCTTTAAAGATTATGTAAATGACTGCCTAATTAGAATAGGTAAGGCATAGAGATTATATAAGTGCCCAAGCAGTAAGGGGAGGGCCAGAATATGATAAGTGAGATTAACAACTACTGCTGGACAGAGAACATATTGAGGAAATCACATTTCATAACAGGTTATTAAAATTTCATGACATATGAAACATTTGTTATACTTTTCAAACTGGTGCTCACTGCAATCCTGAAGCTGTACAATTTAAGTCTTCAGCATATAATACATTGGACACAGTGCAACTGCTTTTTAAGTGCATCTTATCTACTACTAAATATGGAATCTTTAAAATTTTTGCTTAAGAATATAAGCAATATTACTTCTAGTAATGATTCTTTTCATTTAACTTATGAAGTAAAACTGAAAAGATTTATTTTCAAGATTAAATTTATGTACTGAACAGCCATAATACTCTCCCATATTTTTAATCAATTTTGTAATTTTATTTTCCCAGAAACTTTTCTCTTTGTGAGCAAAAATCTGCTCTAGATGTCTTCTTCCAAGGAATTGAATATTTTTTTTATTAAAAGAATTTGATGAAAGATGGTAGTATTCACATTTCATTGCCTGTGATAATTTGTTTCTAACATAGAATATTATCATGATTGTTAAAACAGGATCTTGAGCAATAGAGTAACAGCATTTCACCAAACAATAGAATATTTCATCTTGAGGAGAAATTTCAATAAACTTAAAGAATGCCTAAAGGTTAAATCTATCTTGGCAGAAAGGGAGACAAGATACTGCCACTGCTTGGAACACATCCATTAAACTGAGGAGCAGGAGTCTAATATCTTCAGAAATTTGTTAGCCGATGATGTTGAGTTCAATCTTAGGTAGGACCACAAAAGTCAAGATAATTAACAACTATATTTTGTAAATTTGAAGTCACACATTAAAGTAACTAACATAATGAAATTAGTGCAAGTGATTTTCATTATTTCATTATATATTTAGATTATGTTGAAAATAGCCAAACATCATATAGCACTGTTTATTCTCAAGTAATATCTTTATTTGATCACTATCAACATCAAATGGAACATCTTTCAGCAAGAAATCTCCAGCATGGAATTTCACAAACTGCTTTTGATACATTTGGTATTCACAATACCTTCTTCATAAACTACACAAATTTTGATTGCATTTTCACTTAAAATAAAAGACCTCAATGTGCTCAAAATGTTTTTCTTCCATTTTCAATAAACAAAAATATGCCAGTTCTAAAAAATATTTAAAAAAAAATACTCACTGATATGATACCTGTCACAATATGTCAAAATTAGTCTTTTTAACTAAATGTTGCTGATGCTATCTAGTGACAAAACTGAATGAACTTTTTGATCAAATCAATGTTTTTAAATTTTTGTGTATATGGATTTTGCCATTTACTCATATTAAGCCACATTTTATGACGCCACATTCATAGGATGCCAATAAAAATCATGGTCAATAGAATATTACAAACTTTGATTTAGCTCCTTTTTAATTTTGATATCAATTCTAGCAAAATAAATTGAAGAAATAATTTGAGCAATTTCGTCAGTTGAGATGTATAGAAGTAATTTTGAATTTAATAATTTCATCTACTGGATAATGTTATGTTACATTTTGTCTGTTAGTAAATTAATCATACATTTCAATGATTAATAAGTATGTGAAGCCTATTCAACAAACTATGAAGTTAAATAAGAACATGTTTTAAGTACCTTAACAAATATTTTTAGAGAGGACCGCCCAAGCAAATTGAAGGTAAATTTCCTTCTCTATTTGTGTTATTTAACTGTTATCCTGGTCATTTTAATTTAAATTTTGCTTTTCATTAGCTAGAGCCACTTGCTTTAAAAGTAGAAATATTTTGTTGCTGTTTATTTCTTTAAATATAAACTCCAGTTTTGAAACAAAGATGCAGATGATTCTGATTCTAGTTACCTATATATGATATAACTGTATTGTATATTCTGTTCACCATTTGATCAAACAATCATTTTGATAATTATCAAATTAACTTTTTTTTAATCAACTTGAAATCATTTTACAGAATTATGTGAACAAGTTCAAGAACTAAAACATCGTGCTGAACTAACTAACAGTGAGCTGTTAAAATGTCTGAAGAAATGTGCCAAACTACAGGTGAACCATATTTTGTGTCATTGATTTAAGAAAAGTCTGGAATATTTTCTATTACTTCCATCATTCCACCAACAATAACAATTTGGAATTTGCATTATGTTTTTTAAAAAGTTAAAAAATGTCTTGTCTTTCAACTGATGAAAATGTGGTCTTAAAATTTAAAAGTTTGTTTTTAATAAGTGACCCTTTGCATATTAGATTGACTGGATAAAGACTCAATGAAAAGTGTTCTGTATTTTCAAATGTTCATTACAGAGTGATTATCATGACTTAATTGGGATATCAGCAGATCTTGTTGATGCCTTGGAGGAGACAGCACTGGGCAATATGGTGAGTTGACATTTGATTTTACTCTTTCATTTCATATATTTGGATTAACTTACATCAATAATTTATGAAAGCTTGCTACTAACCATGGTATGGGTATGTGCTGCATTTTGAGAACAAGAGTTACAGCCTATTATATTGTTCTATTATACTTTTATATTTGATGTAATGGAATAACCTGTCATTCCCATGAGTGACTATATGATAGGTAGTAACTACCTATAGGTATCTGTAAGTCAGCAGACTACAGAGGCTAGCTGGGATCTGTTCAGTACGACTCAGACTTACGCAAGAACTACTGACATTCCAATAGTAATACTCACTACTGGATTGACTTGCAACAACCTTCTGCATAACTCTATCTTAATTCTTATTGTACTGGTTTTTACAAGAAACCTTTACTTATTTTATGTTTGTCAAGAATATGTTCTTATTAGCGTAGAATATAACAATATTACTCCATTACTTTGATGATTATATGGAGTGGTCTCACTGATGGAAATTCCATGGCAATGTAAAATTTTTCTTACATCTAACAACATGAAGCTGGTGCCTCTGTCTAAATGTATGCACTCAGACAAAGGAAAATATGATTACTGTGAGATGACATAATCTTTTGTTAGAAGATGGAAGAGTCTTTGAAATAGTATGGTAGCCTTGACTAGATGCAATACTTAGAACTGATAAAAATGTAGTCTGCAGTCAGCACAAATAGAGTGCAAAGCCAGTATTATTTCTACATCCACAACAGAAATCAGTAGATTCCTAGCTGTAATAAAGTGCAGCATCCATGTAATGCCAGATTGACATATTTATGTAATTTCCCCCAATACATCAGAACTCATAACAGAACAGTATAATACATCTGCAGTAATATTGACCTTGCTAGGATAGTACTTTATATCAGAAATGTAACAGGCAACTCTCAGAAATATTCCTGAATTTTCTCATTCATAATTCCATTAGACTGCTGAAAATCAAAGATAAAGGCCACTGATCCCTGATCAATATGAAAAGTAAAGTGGTGTCCAGTTATGTCTCCATATGCAGAAGACCTTCACTGTTGTATATGCCTCTTTTACTATAGCTGAATGTTTTTATTTACAGGCATTTGAAGAACTTGAAAAGAAAGCTACTAGTCTGCCAGTTTAATTCATGGTGACAGCAATCATGTGATTAGAGGCATCCGTCTCTATAATGACAGGAATGGTTCCATCAATAGAATACACTACTGCATTTTTCTGCTTCAGACATACAAATGCTTTTCAGTTATTTTGGGTAGTGGAAAACTTTTAGCTTGTTCAAGAAGAGCAACTCTTTCCAGAATAATTTACAATCCACTGAGAATAAATAAGAGAACTTACCTATACCACAAAAAGAGAATTCATATCCTGAGGATAAATTCTCTTTAATGGTCAAAGTCTCCTGTGTCAGGTTTAATCTTAGCCTGAAATATTGTATAACTTGGGTGGTTCAGTGACGTCTTAGAAAAGAATGCTTGTCACAGTTGTAAATTAAGCTTAACTTTTTGGCAGCGTATGTAAATCTCCTGAGGTTCCTGCTATGTTCTTCCTTCTAACATAAATAGTTATACTAAGTAGGCTAATGTGTCTGAACTTATGTATATTGCTAGTTACTTGTTTCTGAGTATGCCCATCTGCTTGGGTAGCTAGCTGGTCCTTATTGCAGATGTCTGCTAAAGCCCATTTATGTTTTTTTCATACTCACAAAGCTGACCTGTGGTTTATGCTGCATCTATGATAATCAAACCTTAGTTATAGATTCTAGAAGAGTGTGTAGCATCTGGCATGATAAACAGTTTTGAGCAAGACCAGTACATTTAAACTCTGTGACATCATGCTAAGTTCAACCATAAACAGCTTCCAAACATTTCTGTCTATCCATTTTCACTCACAAATCTTCAGTCAACCTTGGTTTGCAAACACTTTCCAACAGTGCACCAAGCTGAAATCATCTTTTTTTTTTTAAAGCATTTGACCCCAACCAAGGCAGGAGTGCCACTAAGAGGCATGTTTGGGGAGAGGATAAAGAGAAGGATGGGGAAAAAGATCATGGTATCAGATGTTGATTGACATTACACTTGAATATTTGAAGATTATAGTTATCAGGGAAGCAAGTAAGAGGAAGAAAATTCCACAGATGAGAAGTGTGAGAGAAAAAGCTGTTTGAGTAGAAGAGAGAGTTACATTTAACCATTTTGACAATGAAAGGATGGGACCAAGATGCCAACCTAGTAGCTCACTTAAATTCATGCTGTCTGGGAACCAGAGAAAGCAATTCGTTGGAACAGTTGCAATGAAAATACTTATGGAAGAGACAGAGGGAAGCCATGGCACATCTGTGAGAAAGTGACTATAGACTAGATGCCAGATCAGGACCTATAACATTGCATATCTGTCTCTGCATTTTGTCAAGGACCTTGAGACTTAGAGTGCACCAGACCATATATGACAGCAATATTCCATGCAAGGATAGATGGTTGATTTATAGATTTAAAGGATGGATTCAGATGAGAAAAACTTTCTGGCATGACACAGAGAACCAACTTTCCTTGCGGTAGATGAAGCTATTGAATCTATGTATTTATTCCACCTCATATCAGCGGACAGTGTGAGACCAAGCAGGTGCAACAAGGTGCTCTCATGTAGTTGGGCATCAGCCATTATTCTGATGAGAGGTAGGAAGTGTTCTCTGTAGTGGTTAAATGAGAGCAGTTTCATTTTGGGACAATAAAGTTTACAAGCCATTTCCTGCCCCAGTCAATCACAGATTGGCAGTCCTCTTAAGACCCTTGCCAAGTTAGTTTTGTCAATGATACCAGATTTACTATTGGGGTAGGAGTAAATAGTAGTGCTGTTTGCATAGATGCCTACTTGGGAACTGATGACATCGGGAAGGTCATTAATGAAGATCAGGAACAGTGTAGGACCCAAGATAGAGCCTTGGGGAACACCAGCATTTGTGATAAAGGAGATGGAAGAGACCTTTATTTAGAATGACCTTTATTTAATGGTTTGATAGGAATGATTGTATTATCAAATAATCATCCTGTAATGCTTATCCCTGAACTCTCTGTCAAATGCTTTAGAGATATCTAGAGCCACAGCTCAAGCTTCTCCATTATTGTGAAGTGCTTGGTATACAAATTCAGTTATGAGCATGTCAGCAGTAGATCAGGCAAAATGGAAACGATATTGCTTGTCACGGAGTAGATTATGGGAAGTAAGTTGCTTATCCTCTTCAATGTTGATTAAAGCTTGAAAGACTTAGCCGAAGAGTGGTAAGAGACTGATAGGACAGTAGTTAGATAGGTCAGAAGGGTCTCCAGAGTTCTTAGACAAGCACAACAGATGAGGATTTCTAACAGGCTGGAAAGTAAGGTCAGTGAGGCAGTAGTTGTGTAGTTTGGAGGACAGGAGCCAGTTCAGGAGCACATTTCTTCAAGACAATGGCTGGTATCCCATCCCCACCACTAGCCTTATGAGAGTCTAATTCAGAGATGACGTTCTATACCATCATTGGGGTTATGTGCATCTCACTCAGTAGAGCCAGATGAGTCAAGCGTTGAATTGGATGTGAATTTCTGAGCAAAACATTCAGCCTTGTCAGATAAGGAAGTCAGAAATTGGTTGAATAATGGAGGTATTGTGGGTTTGTTGTTGTTCAGCATGCTCTTGCAGAGCCGCCAATAATCTTTAGAACCAAACTTCTGAGAAGCAATATATTGTTCCATTCTTTCAGCAAAGAGTATCTTTGCTTTATTGAGGAATCTTGCACTCATTATGGGCAATCACAAAGAGATGTCTGTTGCAATCAGACATGTTGCTACAGTATAGATGGAAGTAGTGATTGCCTTAGGCAATAGCAGCTGAGCAAGCAGCTGAAAACCAAGGGGAGAAAAGCCTCAATTCCAGCTTTTATCTCAGACACACATTTTTGGATGAGGAAGTTTTGTAAACAACACTAAAATCTCTTTCACATGTCAGTGATAAATTGGCCAATTATTTGTTGGGAGCTGACAATACCATTGGTCATCTCTTCATAGGATCCTGTATAACTGGTATTGCTTGTTATCAGCTTCAAAAGCCATATAAAGTTTGGTTTTATCAGTTATTGTGATCTTATTGTACTAATAATACAGATAGTAACAGTAGATTGCTTTTGAGACACAGCTGCCACCACTGGTAAAGACTAAAGTGAAAGACTGAAGTGCTGCAGATGCCCCAGAACAATGCACTCTGTTAAAATTTTAAATCTGCTTTTTATTTTTAATTTCATATATATCAAGACTTCTATGAGTATTATGAAATAAATAACCTCAAAAGGGAAACAAGATATTGTAAGGTTATAGAGTTATGGAACATATCATGAAAAATTTCCAAAAGATTGACCAGAGAACCCAAAACAAAACAAACAAAACACAAAAAGAAATTGAAAACATTAACAAGATAAGAACAAGAAAGATATTTGGCTTTCAGAATGACACAAAAAAAGATTTGAGAAGAATTTAAACACAAGAAAATGGGATTGATAAGCAAGAAAATATTTGAAGAAATCAGTGTTGCAAATGTATACAAAGAGAAAGGATGTTGAATATAAAGAACATTGGCTAAAGATATGAAATTATCACCTTTAAACAGACATCACAAAGAGAAACATGTATGTTGGGAAAAAAAGGCTTCAAAGATTCCAAATTAATGGAATGGTACCCAGCCTCTTTAGATATAAATCTAACAGAAAACTTGTAATATTATTAAAAGAGATGTATATTATCTTATCGTCAATTAGACAAAGAACTTTCACCAATCATGATTGTTCCCTCAGGTATCCCCATACCTTGAGCACCTATTATGACTTAAACTCAGTCTAGACCTGAAGTGGAATACATATTTATGATCCCTCACTAAAGATGTTAAAAAATTGGTCAGTTCCCTATGCTGCTCCAGTAAGTAACTGACTCCTTATGCTACCCTCTACCTTTACAAGAGCCAGGTCAGGCCACGAATGGAATACAGCTGCCATATATGTTCAGGACCTGCCCAGTTTTCACTTTCCACTCAATGGAGTCCAAAAGTGTCTATTTTCCACCCTACAAATCCTTTCTCACAGATGAGATGTTGTAAGCTTTTCGCTGCTCTATCACTTTTGCCATGGGAAGTGTTCAGATTAACTACAGTCCTTAGTTCCACTAATCCTGACCTTCACAGCTAAAACCCACCTTGCAAAGTACATTGTAGTGAACTACCCTCATTCTCTTCATATTCCTTTGATGAACTGTAAATCCCACTTGAGCATCTTTTCCCCATGAACCACTGCCTTTTGGAACCAACTCTCAAGAGAATGCTTCTTCAATCCCTACAATCTTAATGTTCAAGTCTATGGTTAACCATTATCTTCCCCATATATATCTGTATAAGCTGTTCTTCGTATTCTGTAATCTTCTAACTCAAGTGACCCCCAGGCCTTGTACAGAGTGAACACTTTTGTAGAAAAAAATATGAGAATGAAAAACAATATTCATGTGAACATTTCTGGAAAACAATAAAAACTGCTGCAATTAATGTTAAAATTGAAAGAGTAATAAACTTAACAAAATGAATAATTGAAAAACTGATAATGATTATAGAATATAATAGAACCCATATTAACATGTAAAGTAATGAAATAATTTATTCAGGTTTATGAGATATAGTGTTAATTGCATATATTTTTCTATAGCCTATATCATTTTTATTTATTTATCAATAAATTTTTATGCCAGTTAGCATTCATAATAAAGCCTGACAGATATTGTAAACTTGAATTCACCTGATATATTGCTCATATAAATATATGAAAATTTGACCAACATCAATTAGTTAATAACAATCTTATTGTGAAGACATTTACTTCATATAGTGTACAATATACTGCATTTATAATATTTTACATGTATTTTTGAATGTTTGAGTGGTGTAATGTTTAGTGCTTCAGAATGAGAATTTGGAGAGCCAAGTTCAAATTCCAGTCAGATTCATTGAATTCACTTGCATACAAATGCCCTTAGGAAAGGTATGAATCCATTTCTTCCACACCAGCTATGGGTTAAATAGTAGGTCTTGTATTTGGAAAGATCATTGTTATTCTCAAAAAATTGTTAATGCAATATTCACTTACAAAAAATAATTATTCTAACAATCCAAAAGAGGTTTGATAAGCCATAATACAAATCAAACAATATATTTTTACTTTGCAAATTTCAGATAAGTCCTGAAATGCTGCATCAAATTTGTGCCCGTCTCTTCACTCATGCTAAACAACCTGCAGCTGATTTAAGTCGACCTGGGACAGCAGGCAAAGCTCTTCGAACTTCTATCATTAACTATGAGTAAGCTGAAACCTGAATTCACTTTTATAGTAATTTTAATTTAATTGTATTTGCATGTTTTAAAAGTATTCTATACTATTTTGGTTGTGTATTTTGATAGCATATGGCCATGCAATTCCACTCTTCCTACTTACTATCAATACCATAGCAGCACTTTGGGTGGCAAGGCTGTAGCACTATACTTCACTTGAATCAAATCAATCATTCCTATAATAACTGAAATGTATTCTTTGATTTTAGTTCAGTACTTGTCCTTTCTTTTCTTTTGTTTTTAATGTTGATACCACTGCCCAGGAAACCCTTGATGAATTCAGTTTCTTTAATATAGAGTAAATCCTCAATTTAATAGATTAATCATGGGGAAGGAGTGTCCATTTATGCCTAAAGTCTGTTAAATGCAAGTGTGTATTTCAAGGTCATTTTAAAATATTTTTTTTGTAAAAAAAAAAAAAGATTTAATACAATATACATTACTTTAAAATATAAAATGACTGTATTATAATGAAGAATATGTAATATCTATCTACTTTTAGACACTTGTTCAGTGATAAACCTTTTTCTCTAATGATCCCAAATCTTATCTCGATCTATGTTCTCATGAAATTTAAATAATTTTAAATATTGTATATTATAAAAGAAAAAGCAACATAATTACAATATTTTATTAATGACTAATATCAAGTTTTCTTCGGTATTTCTTATTCAGTATCTGATTGTAGTGGTGAAGAGGAATCCTTAGCTTCTGATTCTTCTGAGATGTGCACAAATGGCGGCAATAGTGTCATCTGGTTGCTTATCAACAGTTGGGATACAAAAACAGTTTTCTTTTAAATTGTTTCACCCCAAGCAAGGCAACAAAGCCACTAAGATGTTGGGGAGGTTACAGAGTGAAACAATATAAGAAAAAGAAAAGCATTATTAAGGAGCAAGAATTATAAAAGAACAGGAATCAATAAAACAGAAGATAACAACTGACATTGCATTTACATTTTTGAACGCTAAAGTTGACTGGAAAGCAAGAAGTCAAAAGAATGTTTCACAAGTGAGAAGTGTAAGAAAAGTAACTGTTAGCATCAAATTTACAGTTACATCTAAGTAATTTAACTGTAAAATGATGATACCTTGCTGCCAATCTAGTACTAGTAATTTATAAAGTCTAGGTACCATGGAGCAAAGTTAATCAGAACAATCACCATGAAAGTGTTTATAGAAAAGGTACAGGGAAGCTACATTATGGCATTGGGAAAGAGCCTGAAACCAAGATTTGGAGGAGAAACTGAAGCAAGAGTTAGCAAATTTAGCTTAAAGACAATGTCCAGCATCAATTGGTTCACACTCTGCTGATGATGTTTCTTAATTATGATCACCCAGAATGACTAATAATCACATTTAGAAAGATCAACATTATATTTTAAAGAAGACTCACAACTTTTGACTTATATATATTATAAACTGTTTTCTTTATGCTATAAATTTCATAGACCTATTCTACTGTGATGCCTTGTTCTAATTTCTTAGTTAGTTCTCATTTTTGTGCTACATTTAAGTTCATATCCACTCTTTCAACCCTGTTAATTAATCTCATTTTAAATTTTGAGGATTGCAAAATTATTCAATAAAGTAACAATTCAAATATCCCAGCAACACTCTATATCCAACATGATATGTAATATTTACACAAGTCTGGGCTGGGAATGACACAGGCCAGTAATGGACTGAGGAATGAGGATAATGTAGAAGGTAAATAAAAAAGCTGAGCTTTTTATATCATAAATTGTTTTTGCTTAACGCGGCTTTGACAGTATCTTTTTCTCATTACTGTTTATTTATATATCATTGTAAAAAAAATGATAAAAATTGAAAACTTCTGGATGAACAGTCAACAGAACAGACCATTATAGTAATTCGAAATATGCAGTATCTATCCCCCAATATAGCAGTTAATTCTGGACAATTTACTCAAAGATGAAGAAGAGGCTTGAAGCAAGAGAAATGTGGTTCTACAGAAGGATGCTGAGAATACCATGGACTGAGCATGTGATCAATAAAAAAGTTTTAGAGAAAATGGAAACAAAAAGAACACTTATACTTGACATCGGAAAGAGATAGTTGAAATTTCTAAGGCACATAACGAGGAAAGAGGGCTTGGAAAATCTGATACTCACTAGACAGATTGAAGGCAAAAGGGACAAAGGAAAACAATGTATAACCTACCTGGCAAGTTTGAGTAAAAGGTTGGTGGAACACGGTTTAGCAGAGATAGCAAAAAGACAAAATTTATTAAGAGCCATAAAGGACAAGAAATTCTGAAGAGCCATGATTGCCAAAGTCTTGAAGCAACATTGACACATAGAAGAAGAAGAAGAAGAAGAAAAAAAAATCTGCATCAGCAGCTGCTGCCCAGATATGCTTGTTGTTGGTGGTTTAATATTCATTGGGCCTATTTTGGGAATGCAGAATTGAGGAGGATTAAAAAAGGGTTTCTCTACTCATGTAATGAAATGCAATAGAGAAAAATAACTGCTTAAAAAGGTTAATTAGATGTAGTTGAACATAAATTTAACCAGAAGAAAACTAGTAAGATTGAATATAACTGGCAAACCCGTGCACTTTCCTGCTACACACTTCCCAGGAGAGATATGTGTTTCAACAGGTGATTGATTCTAAGGATAAAGTCTCTTGGGTTAAAAGTTGTTAAAATATCGGCTACCTGAACTTAGAAGAATTGTAAGGAAATCCATTTTTCAAAACAAAAAAAAAAAGATTTTGAGGAGTTAATTTTCAGATTCTAGAACAGAGGGAACATCTGTTTTCGAGAGGCACATGTGAACAAATAAAGCCTTGCAAAAATGAAATTAATTAATTTCATTTCATTGATCTATCAATTTAACAAGTGTGGTAGCAAAGTTCATGAAAAGGAGTCAGTTTGAGTTGCAAAGTAGTTAGTGATGTGATTTGGAAAGAAAAAACCCTAGTTGGTGTTTCAAGCTGGTATTAAGAGATATAAATTGGGATTCCTCAATTATAACACCAAACATGTGTGAACATACAAACACTTTCTTCCATAGTGCCAGTGACCAAATTTTTAGAAATCTGATCAACCAAATAATGAAAAGCAAAAATATATTTAGATTTGTAGTTTGTAGATGAGATGAATCAAAGTGTGCAGTTGTTTTTTGCAAGATATACTCTGATCTTTTAGTTCTGTTATTTTCTGTTTCATTCCAACCCAGAAAAACAATCCTTATTCTAGTTATGCAATATTACTCTAGCTAGGGTCTGCCAACATTTCAACCCCACGGTGGAAGACCACTTCAGGATGAAGTTAACACAATATGGGTTAAGGATGGCTTCTTTACTAGGAATAATGCCCCTTGGAGTAACCAGTGTCCAGTGTAATGACCTTCTAAGTCCATTGAACCATCCTTCAAGCTGAAATGACCAGTGGAGGACCCGTGCAGGGATAGTGTCCCATTTGTCACAATTTGCACCAGGATATTTGACAATGTAGCATCACTTGATTAGTATTATTTTACTTTTAAAAAAAAAACAAGATAATCAAATGGTTGGTATGGACTTAAATCATACAATGATCACAGAGAAAAATGGGTTCATTTGTACACAAGTAATAACCATCACTTACCTTGAAGAACACCCAAGATACTTTTGAATAATGAAAAGCCCAGAGGGAGATGCAAAAAAAAAAAAAAAATTTCAGAATTCAAAACTGCTTGTTGATTGTTAACAAACAATTTAGACATGCAGTTTTGCACTTTAAAACTCAGCCAAGTGCTAACTACAGAAATGATCACCTCCTATTATTAAAGCAAACTAAATGTAATACTATAGACATTTAAAGAAACCCAAAGCATTGTATAAAACTGCAAAATGACAAACTTCACAATAATTTTAGTTGAAAACTAATAAATGTGACCATAAGAATAAATATGAAACACTGGAGCAGGTCAGAAACTTATGAGAACCACTTGTGACAAAAAAGCAAAATAAATTATTCCAAAATAAGAAAGAAAATAAAAGTGTTGAATGGCAGATTAAATTCTCAATCAAATGAAAGAAAGATAGCAGATAATACCAAAAAATGGTGCAGAATATATGGTGTTAACTAAAAACAGTGCAAGCAAGCTAAAGTGGAATGACTAAAAATGCATAAAGATAAAAAACAAACTACAGAACACAGATATATGATTTGATTTATTCAAAGTATTGTCCCCATTTTTGATTTTTATAGAAGCTATTATAGATATTTTTCAGTACCCTCTGGCTATCTTCAGGTTTTCATTATTTTGCTATTATAGAAACACTTTGTCTATAATATTTATATAACAAAGATGAAAACAGTAGTTTGAACAAATCAAATTGACAATTCCTCATCTCAGAAACAAAAATAACACAGAGATAGCATGTATACAGCAAAAGATAAAAGAAATAACATGGCAGAAAATATGTTCTTTGGCAGGATATGTAAAATGTAAAATAGGAACAAGCATAACAGAAAAAGAATGGATATTGTGACAATGGTACAAGTATAGAGGAAAATTCATTCATGGCAACAGAGGAGAAAAATCTACAATGCATAAAAGCATGGAAGAACCCATTATACTAAAATCTAAGGTCAAGTCAGCACTGGCCAAAATGAAGAGGAACAACTGAGATGAGAGGAACAGATGAGATCGTAATAGGGACACTGAAAGCCTGAGATGATATATCACTTTGGTAAAATACTTGAGGACCACTGTAGACCAAAGAAATCAGTTCCAAATTAATGCAATCTCCATTGAAAAATAAGATGAGCTACATAACAAAAGTAATAATTAGGATTCTAAAGAATAGAACTGAGATCTGAATTAGATTGGAAAATAGGCAAGAATAATTTAGCTTTGTTCAAGTCACTAGAATGAGAAATGCAGTTTTCATGTTGGAAATGCTATCAGAGTGAGCAACAGAAATATCTATACCAATACTTTACAGATTCCCCCAAAGCCTTCAATAATGTATAAAGCAAAGAATTCCTTGAAATATTAAGATAATTTGGTCTACACAGAAAAGATAGTCAAATAATCTATAACTTGTGACAGGAACAAAGAGCTTACATGCAGATAGAGAATAAGTTAATTCAATACACAAAAATAGAAAGAGGCATCTGACAAAGATGTGTTTTCTCATTGGATTTATTTAACCTGTGCAGTGAGATAATTCTAAGAGAACTAAAAGACTTAACAGGATTTATTATCAGTGGATGTAACCATAATAACATATGCTATGTGGACAACACTATGCTGGTAGTAAATCCAGAATGAAAACTAAAAGAACTGTTAAACAAGATTGTTAAAAAGTAAAATGTAAGGCCATTTTATTAACTGCAGTATGACAGAATGCATGAGTGTCATTTGTAAGTTACATATCAGAGATGTAAATATCAAGCAGGTCCATAAATTTAAGTATTTGGATATTGTAGAAACAAAAAATGGAAAATCTGATGCTATAATCTAGAGGCTGAAGAAATAATAAAGGATACTTTTCAGAGACTGGGCAAGGTATTAAGATATATGAAAATGTCTAGAAACAATAAATGGGTCCTGAATGGCAGTGAGTGCTGGACAGTTTCATCATAGATGAAGAAATAGACTTAAAAAATAGTGATGTACTTCTACCAACAAATTGTTATGAACACACATATGGTAGCACAGAAGAACAAATGAAACAGCAGTGAGGTGAAAGGAAAAAAAGACAAAAGCTGTAAATATAACACTCTTTTGTATTGCCAAAACAGCAGATTCAAACAAATTGTTGGTGTGAGCATTGTGTGGCTGTTTGGAGGAGAGTAGGTCACAAGTGAATATGTGTGTCAGATTGGTTGACCAAAGTCATGGATCGTGATATTGACGGCCTGCCAGGCATCAACAGTTGGCTTGTTCTCCTTGCTTCTGTTCCAGCCATTTATGAGCAGTTTTCTTAAAGGCAAATCTGGAGACTCCTGAGCTCATTTTTTCTTTGGCAGAAACATTCATGATTAGCTTCTTTTATGCTGTATTTTAGATTTTTGAGAGGATTTGTTTTGTGGGCCAGATGTGATGGCTGGAGCCACTGTGCAGAGGACAACTTTTTTTTGATTTGATTTATTAGCATTCACACCCAGATGACATGTATAGTGGTTCAGAAAGAGAACTAATTTGAAGCATAGTATAGCAAAATTTTGAGAGTAACATGGACAGACTATATGAAAAATGAAAAAGTTTACAGAAAACAAGAAATATAAAGAAACTGCTATTAACAATAAAAAAGGATAGCTGAAATTTTTGGAACCCACAATAAGGGAAGAAGATATGGAAAATTTAATACTCATAAGGCACACTGAATACAAGAGAAGCAGAATAACCAACTTGAAGAGTTTGATTAAATGGGATATGGAGCAAGTAAAATGTGTTCATAAAGAAGCATAATGTACTGAAAGTGGCAAAAACAGGAAGTTTTGGGGAGCCATGATTTTCTACATCCTCAAGAGACATAGCACATAAAGAGAGAAAACCTAGTTATAAGCTAATTCATTAAATAATTCCAAGGTTAGACTTTTTATAATTTTCATTATGACTTACTTTATCAGTCAACATACTTTACCATAAATCCTTTATATACTTATTGGCTTTTCATTATGAGATATCTGAAATAAAATCCATTAGATAGTCAAGCAGCAAAAACATTAACATCCTGCATATTTTTTTTTTAATTCCTCATAGACAAGTATTATTTCAGCAAAAATGTTGAGGCAAAGAGAACAGAAAAAAAAAGTTGATTTTGAAAGAGTTTTGACATACAATCTCCATATTCCTTTCTACTTCACCTTCCTCTGTCATATATGTATGCATGCATATACATATGTAAATATATATATATATATATATATATATATATATATATATATATATATATATATATATATACATCTGTAAATTCTAGATCTTCACAAAAGAAAGCTGACACGCCTTTAGATTATTCCAAAGTGAAACGTGACCTAATGAATACTGGGAGTAACCAAAAAGCCCTTTTACTGCAGGCCTTACGATGGGTGAGTACAAATCTTCATATTGAACTTTTTCGATTTTTGTCTGAATGAATTTGATAAAAGGATTGGTGACTACAATATCTAATTTTGATTAATAATCAGTGGTTATCATTAAATTCATAGTCAGTAAGTGTATTTATTAGTCAAAATAAAGGAATAGACTCAAAGCATAGTGATGTACTTCTACCAACAAATTGTTATGAACACACATATGGTAGCACAGAAGAACAAATGAAATAGCAGTGAAGCAAAAGAAAAAGATTGTAAATATAACACTCTTTTGTATTACCAATACAGCAGATTTGAGCAAAATGTTAATGTGGGCATGGTGTGGCTGTTTGGAAGAGAGTGGGTCTCAAGTGAATATGTGTGTCAGGTCGGTTGACCAAAGTCACGGTGGTGATGTTGAGGGTCGGCCAGACATCAACAGTTGGCTTGTTCTCCTTGCTTCTATTCAAATCAATTATGAGCAGCTTTCTTAAAGGTAAATCTGGAGGCTTCTTTTTCTTTGGCGGAAATGTTCATGATTAGAAAAATATTTGACTATGTAGAAATCACATGCTGCTATTTATTTCCTTAGGGACAACATTCCAGTTGCCTTTCTTGAATATTTGCTGACAACTGTCAATTTCACAAACAAAAATTAAGTTGATATTTTCAGAACTAAAAAAGGATAAAAATTTGGCGAAAGTAAATAATGAGAAAATATTGTATGTCTATGATAGTCTTGTGCATGTAGAAATGTTTGTATAAATTACTTGTGAAAGTGAACTGAGCCAGACTTACTTCACATGTCTACTCTATGCTCATTCTTTATGTAAGGTCATGTTCATAAGATTTATCACTCTAAATATTGGGTGTTGTGCACACTGCTGAATTGGGCTGTCCAAATCCTGCAAAGCCATGAGTGAAAAAAAAAGATTTTTCTCATAGTTCCCAAGAACTCAAATTTGGCACCATTGATTTTCATTGGTTAAATAACATCATGTGATTGTTTGCTACAAACTATGTATGCTTGGAGTAATGCTTTTTTCATTAGGTCAGACCAGTCTGGTATCAGCCAGACTGTTTTTTTTTTCATACATATGATGCATTTATTAATCAGAAGCATGACATGTTTGTGTGTTTCTATTGTAGAGGTATATTTACATTTGCAGATATGCATATATGCATTTATATATGGTCAACAATGAAATTATTTATACACCCATCAATTTTGAATACTTTTATCAATTTCTTAGAATCTAATACCTGTATGATACCAGGTTTTTTATGTTAATAAGCACAAAAAAGAATATAAAACTCAATTTTCAGAACAATAGGTTAAATGCAACAAATTTGACAGATGAATTATACAAAATAGGAAAAAATAAAATTATTCGTACAGTAGAAAACATTGTTTTAAATTGATTGATTCATGTAAATATAAGTAATTTACATAATTATTTTATCAGTGAAGCCTTCTAAACTATTTATTCAGTAGAATATTTGTGATAATTCCAACAAAGAAGATCACGTGGTGCATAGTGTGTCACCATTGTTATTCTTACATTAACAACATGATGGGGAAGACAAAGAATCTTAGTGTTGACTTGAGACAGAAAATTATTAATTTCTACAAGTTGGGAAATAGTTACAGCACTATTCCAAACCAGTTAACTATCGCTAGATCTACAGTACAGTCTGTTATAAAGGAGTTTAAACAGTTTGGCATGACAGAGAATTTGCCTGGGCATGAAAGGAAACTCAAATTATTTCCAAGAACTGCATGAAAACTGTGTCACTAGGTTAACATAAACCCAAGAGTTGTTTTGAAAGACATCGCCAAAAGCTTGGATATGATGGGCATCAGCATAAGTACTCGCAGAGTGCAACATTGTTTAAATAAAAATGAATTGTATAAACCAACCACAATAAACTCCTCTTCACAAACCATGTCACATTGTTGCTTGGTTTAGTTTTGCGAAATAAAATTGAACAAAAAAAATTGCTTTTGTGAACAAGTACTATGGAGTGATGAAATAAATTGATCTAATTGGGCATAATAATGTACAGGTGATTTGGTGCAGGAAAGGTGAGGCTTTCCTTCCAAAGAACACAGTGGCAACATTAAAACATGGGGGCAGCTTGATGATGTTTTAGGATTGACCCCAAACATACATCTAAATCAGTATGGCTTCTGAAAAAGAAGATTACAGTTCTGCCATGGCCTTCAATGAGTCCTGACTTGAATCCTATTGAAAATCTATGAAAGTATGAATAAATTGTTGGTCACCAAAAAACCTTCAGGAATTAGAACGTGAAGAATGGAAAAAAAAAAAGGATTTGTTCAAATCTCATCAAAAACTTTAGAAAATGATTGCAGCAAGTTATAAAAATGAGAGGCAATGCTATTGACTATTAATATTGTGAAAATTGTTCAGTTTTTTCTATTTTTTATACTGTACGAATAATTTTGTCTTTTCCTATTTTGCATAATTTTCCTGTCAGATTTGTTGTATTTAACCTATTGTACTGAAAATTGAGTTTTATATTCTTTTTTTGTTCTTATTAAATATAAAAAACCTGGCAACATACAGGCATTAGATTATGAGAAATGGATAAAAATGTTCAAAATTGATGGTTGTACAAATAATTTTGTTGTTGACTATGTATGTCAAATGAAGAATTTTTACCAAGTTTTCATTAACTGAATCCTGTCCATTAATTCTTCAGTTATCATCAGGGTAACTTTTAAGTGCTAGGTGGCTGGTATATTTTTTAAAAAATATTTTTAATTGCCCTGATTCCAGTTAGCTGCTAGCTGAATTATTTAAATTGAAGAAGTCTTTTGTGTGTATGTGTTCTATGAAAAATTATAATTAATAACTTTATTGGTGAGAGATTTAATTTTTTCAGCGGTTAACTCAAACCTCCCCACAACAGAGGACATTGAATATTACTGCATATGTTCATAATGATTTATTAGGCTGTTCCTCAACCAGTTCATTTAAGGTAAATATATATTTGTACTTTCAAATAATCAGCATTCAGTATCTTTTTTGCATTGGGATTATGATAAACTGATCTACTATTAATGATATTTTACATATAGACTTAAAATATGCTTTCAAATCAAATTTTGTAACTTGCCTGACATTGAATAACATACAAATGAAAAATAAGGACATTCTCTCTAATATTTGTAATATTAAAGCAGTCTAATGCTTTATTATAATGTTGATTTTGTAGAAAAGACACACAGCAGATTATAAATATAAATCTGCTTAATAATGACAGTGCTATTAGTGTTGTTTCCCATTCAACAAGACAGTCATTCAAGTTACAAAAATTGTAATATATGAATTAACTCCCTTGTTTTACAACTGGTATTTTAGTTGGAAAGCATAATGTCTACATTAACTTGTTGCACACATCATTACAATTATACACAATGTGGTTCCACTTTTAATAACGAGCGACAACAAAAGAGACATGAAATTAAAGTAACATGAAATATCAAATAATATATATCTCTAATAATTAGAAATATTTATTTGAATGGTACATACATGTCCATTGATTTTTCCATGTTGTTGCTGATCAGAAAGTAGCTCGGTACATTTTCACTGCTCCAAAGTAAGTCGTCAAAAGAAGGAGAGTTTCTAAACTGTCCACCAAAGTGGAAACTAGGCAGGACTGTCATTGGCTCATTTATTGACTAATCAGAGGACTCGCTACATGCTGGTTACAACAATACCGTGAAAGAGATCTCTGGATTTGTTATTTCCTTTATTTTCTTAAAAGGATCTGTTGCCAATTCATATTTGCACCTTAGCCTACCAAACTTCTCTATCTTAAACTCTATCACATTGTAAATATCCCAGCACCCCTTAAGCATAGTTGCATAGTTACTGCATAGTTGCCCATCAGTGGTGAATTAATTTGAATTCTTTGTTCTCTATCTTACATTTGTATATCTGCTATTGGAATATCCCCTCAAAATTGTGTAATGCAAGAACTTTCTACATATTCTTATTTACATAAGAATTTTATTCACGACACCCACTAGCTTCATAACCATCTGAGCAGTGAGGGCAACAGTTTATATTTACTTCTTTCAGTTGTTGTTTCCTATTTAAGTATTTAGATTTTCACAAATAATTTGTATTACTGCAAAAATGAACTTTTTCTAATGCTTGATTATATTTTCTATTTTTTCTCTTGTGCTATTTTTTCTCTTACATATTACCCTTAATGTTTTTTTTTCATCATTTCACCCCATGCAAGGCAACAAAGCCACTAAGATGCATGAGGTTACTGAACATGAAAGATTATAAGAAATTGAAAAACATTATTAAGAATCAGTAACAATAAAAGAACAGAAATTAAGAAGACAGAAGATAACAATTGACATTGCATTTACATTTTTGAAGATCAATCTTGGAAAGCAAGAAACTAGAAGAGGGTTCCACGAGTGAAAAGTATGAGAAAAAAAAATGCTAGCATAGAACTTACAGTTACCTCTAGCCATTTTAACTGTAAAATGATGAAATCTTGCTGCCAATCTAGTACAGAATTTAGATTCATAAAGTCTAGGTACCATAAAGGAAAATTCATCAGAATAATTACCATGAAAATATTTATAGAAAAGGTACAGGAGAACTACATTATGGCAATGGGAATGTGACTGAAGCTGATATGCCAGGACCAGTGATATTGCATATTCCTCTTTAGATTTTATGAAGGATCTATAAATACATAGCAGGAGCACCAGACCATATATGACAGCAATATTGAAAATATGAAAAAAACTTAAGATAGATTTGGGTGAGAAAAATTGCTTTGCACAACACAGTGAACCAACTTTCCTAGCAGTATACCTAGTGACTTGCTTATTACCTTTACTTAATGTTTTTTCTCTTGCTTATTATTTTTACTTACTTGTTTATGTATACTTGTAAAAGAATAACTGAAATCAAAGGTAACATAAATGTTTTAATGAACAAAGTGACCCATGATGGGTTTAACACCAAATGCTAGAAAAACCATAGAGGCAACCAATATATCTACAAAAAGCTTCCAGTTAGGGGAGATAATGTATTGATAAAAAGTTCCAGTCAATGAAAGTAATTAAAATATATATGGTAATATTATGGTAATATTATATCCATTAAGTTTAATAAATGTTAGTGAATTTATTGTGTTGTCTTTTTCAAATATTTAATCTTTTACTTGTAGTCATTATAGTCAGAACACAATAAATTTAATTCTTGAAGTGTTAAAAAAATGTTTGGTGTTCTGATATTGGGGCACCAGTTTTTTTCAATTTTCCCTTTTTTTAATTTTTCAGTCCTCTATTCAGGATTACTGCCAAAACTAACTTTTCTTCATTTAGATTTTTAATTTGGTTTGCAATGACTTTGGTTACTAGGCATTTATTTATTTTTTTTTTTTTAGTATTATGTCCATGAATTGTTAATTCACAAGAGCCTTTGTTTAAGATATCACATACAATTCTGTCTCTGACTAAGTCATCCTAGAACTCTTCAAATTTTACAGACCTTAGACTTCAGTCAGAAATCAGTTAAATTTTTATGAAGGTAATTGGTTCCTACTGAAAAATAAATATCTGATGTATAATGTACACTATATTTTTTTCAGTCAATAGTATTCCCAGAATTTATTTTTCATACATTGTATTTTTATCTTATCAAGTTCAAATGAGTTGAAAATTTTTCGGGTTTGTAGTTCGGCCACATGTAGGAATGTGTTAGCCTGTCTTTGCTCATCTTTTTCTGTTACTCCAACAGCAAGTGAATAATAAAAATCATATTGTTATTCTTAAACTTTGTAAATTTTGTCCAGGTTTACTTTGAAGTTGACAGTTTTTGTGATTTCAAAATTATTTACTTTTCTTTTAATTTTTAATTCCAATTTACTCATCTGAAGTTATTTCAGGGCATCCACATGCGTATCCATTCTTAATGGTGGCACAAATTTCAAACAAGGTATTGCATCATTTTTTTTTGTATCCAGGTCAAGCTGTTTAACCAATTTTTTCTTTCTTGTATGGCTTGTGGGCAGGTTATGTTATTCTGACACCATGTTATGTATCATGTTAATGTTGTTCCATGCTGGACATCTGTGAGTAACAGTGAATGTATTGAATACTTATTTGTAATGACCCATGGTATGACTAACTCTGATTATTAGTAGCTGTGGGCACTGGGCTTTATTGAAATGTGATTGGCCTTTATAAATTGTTACAAGGAAACTAACTCTGTACTTACAAATATATCACAAAGCCATATTTTACTAATTTGCAAGTAATAAGCTAAAAATATGATTCATGCTATATGCTATGCATGCATCTATTATTCAACTTTTTGTTTATGAACCGTTAAAGGGAACAAATATTTTTTTCACCTGTTATTTCAATAATTAAAATCATTTAACAGAATAAATCTGGGGCCTAATTAATTTTTTTCTTTCCAAACAGGAAATAATACCAGAGATTTTAAATTGTGATGAAGAAGACCTAAAGGGATCAATGGCTCGTCTTTTAAATACAGTTGCCTCCATTAGTGTTGGTAAGTAGGACTCTTCTTAATGATCTGACTCCAAAGTAAACATTATTATTGAATTATGTCAGATCTATCTTGAATTCATTTCCTTTCTCTGCAGGCCAGTCATTAAATGGAATTTTTTGATCATACAAACAATGTCATTTACTTTTCTCAGGTATCTGGTTGTTTACTCACTTAAACCTTTCCAATCTTGAAATGATCAAAATTATATTGCCAACCTAATTTTGCTTTTTTGTCAATATGCATCTTTGTGTATTAATAAAACAAGCTAATGAAGCTAAGATTGGCATAATCAGGTGGTTGAAAACATTAATATTTTCAAGTGTCTGTTGTTGTTTATGTGTTGGAATGTGTCACAAAAAAATAAATGATTTCGTCTCTTTCTCTCCTGTTGTCGTAGCGATGGGCACGGTCTCCACTTCTGAGACTGAAACTGCCCTCCTTCTCATTCCAGCCCTTTACATAGAGCTTGGTAACTCACCTATGCAAAACACCAACAAGCCAGCTATCAATCACAGTTCCCGTGCCTGCTTGGGGGTGTCAAGTTGACCGACCAACTCATTACAGTTTATAGCTTCAATTGAAGTCTTAACATTGTTTTTCATCCTGACTGTATCACTGCGAATAAACTCGTTGGTAGCCACAGATGAAAATGTATAAGAAAATACCAAGCAAGAGATAACTCATAGTCAGCACAAGATAACTCATAATCAGTTTCATAATAAAATCTGCCAACCACTACTTAACTTGTGGTTGGCAGTCAATGGGTTAACTCAGTTAAAATTGTAACTTGGTAGTTGTTTTAATTGATTTTGCCCCAAGCAATGCAATAAGAGATACAAGTTGTTACTAAGTGTGAAAGAGTTAGAAGCAGAAAATTACTAAGGGGCAAGAACAAAAGAAGTGTAATCAGGAGCCAGCAGATAGCAGTTCTTTAAAAATGAAATTGACAAGCAAAAGCAAGAAATGAAATTGACAAGCAAAGTCTAAATTTAGTCTGTCAACTCAAATGACACTTTTTAATTTAAATGATCTTGGGAAGAATATGATCCTAAGCATTTTTGCACTTGGTCCAATTTGTTGACATCATGGTAAGAGTTTTATTGATGACACCTTAGAAAGAAGTCAAGTGACTAGGAATTGTAGTTGTAAAGAAAATAAAAAGAAGGAAAAAAACCTGTCAAATTATAGTAGCAACAAACACCTGCATTTCTTCTGTCTCTTGACCACAACACTTGTAGCCAAATCACAGTTCAAATGATAATCCGTCGTAACAGTCCAACAGGCAACATAGAAACGACAAAATGGGGTCACACGTCCAACCTTCAATTCTCACCAGCAAAAATGTGTGTTCGCCTACCAAGCTCAAGAAATCTAATGCCACATAAGTGAAAAACAACAGCTTTTGTTCACCAAGAGATCTTTCTGATTGGTCACGCCATTCAGTGGAGGGAAGAACATTAGCATAGATTCTGGTCCTTAAAGTAGATTTTTGCTAACTACTTTTTGGTAATTTTTCTTTGGTAGATTGCACACAAAACACAAACTCTTTTTTGAGGTAGCTGATTATCTCTTTCACTACAGGAATAAAAAGTGTAATAGTTGTGTCAGAAAAAGATGTTTCATAACACACTCATCCAGCCAGTATGTAAACTATAAATCAAGATTCTCAGAAAGAGAATTTATATTATAATTGGAAATAATTGTGTATAATAATGATATATCATTTTTTTGTGTAGCCACTTGAACTTTGAATATTGATCTATATCCTATTTTCATGTCCTGACAGTGCTGAGTAATGAATTAAGGAAAAGACACTGAGATTGAGGAGATTCCCAGCAAATATTAAATAAGATGGTGAATCTGCCAGAAAATTGAATAATAGTTATTGACTAAGCTAAGGTCATTGAAGAAAAATAAAGGAAAAGAAATAAATTATATCATCAAATATTGGATTAATTGGGGGTTGCTTCAGTGCAATGATTTTCCAAGTATTTTGCAATTTTTGATTTAAAATTTGCTATTGTTTATTGAAAAATATATTTTTAATATAATTTTCTGAATTGAAAGAAAGGTCAAGTTGACATCTGAGTTAGTTCATAGTGCATCTACTAATGCCTTTTTCCCTCTATAATATTTATTTCTGTTATGAATTTCTTAAAACATAACATTGTTATTTTTAAAGTATTTTTTTTACTTAAGCATAAAAAAAAAACAAATATAAAAAGATGTTAATAGCAGAAAATTCTTTTTTTTTTTACTCTCTTCTCTATTCTTTTGCTTGAGGAAACAATACTTACGCATGGGTGAGAAAACTGTTTTGATTAAACAACAAGTTGTGAGCACTTTTGTATGGTTTTCATCTTCCTTTTTTGAGATTCCTTTTGCTGTTACATTTGAAAAATCATTCTTGATTTGATGAAGCATGAAAAACAAATTTAGAATGTTGACAGAATTCTTTATATGATTTATAGAGAGACACAAGCTGAAATCCCTCATGTAAATGCTTTACAGTCAGAAAACCAGAGGGGAGACATATATAATAGTTTTTCTCCAGTACATCATGTAGTATATTCATAATCCATTATATGTCAACCATGGGCAACTCAGTGTTATTTTTGAACGTGAATACTGTAGAATCTTTTGAAAGCTACAAAATATGACAACAATATGTCTATATTTCTGAGATGAGGTATTATGTACATTATTTACATTATTCAGACTATTGTCCTCATCTTTGTCGCCATATTTATTACATTTCGGCCGTTGCACGTTCTGGCCTTCTTCAGGTGGTTGGAATGTCAAACTGAACCCTTTATTTCACTCACTGATAACTGATAACTGACATCCATTAAACATGGCACGTGGAACTAGAACAGTCTACCCCAGTGAGCAAAGTAAAGGGTTCAGTTCGACATTCCAACCACCTGAAGAAGGCCGGAACGTACAATGGCTGAAATGTTGTAATAAATATGGCAACAAAGATGAGGACAATAGTTTGAATAATGTAAATAATGACAATTTATCTTTTTATTTTTTGATCATGTTATGATTTTAGACCAAAATATTTATATTTATTAAGATATGAAGATATATTTTTACAACAGTAAAAAAGGAATATTTTTATAGAATTTATAAAACATTTAAAGAAATTTCTACAATAACTTTTCAAAAATAATTACTAATTACATATTCCAATATACTGAGGAGGATTTTAGCAACAAGAAAAAATTGAGTTATACATCCACAGTAGCACCCAAGACACACTCAGTTACTACTGCAACTCAATAGTTTGTGTGTTGTTATACAAAAACTTTCTGTGGCAAGATAAACATATTTTAAATTCAAAAGGAGTAACATGTATTCAACTGTTCCATAAGATTAATGGTGAAAATAAGCTTTGAGTGAGTAAAACCTGACGTTCTTGGCAAATATCATCTCTCTTTTTATATTGTGAACTGGCGCTAAAGAATCACAAACAAAGCACTGTACCAAATAACAGAAATCACATCACTTGAGGACTAGCAACAGCAGCAACAGTTAAAATGGATAGCACATGTAACTCAAAGAGAAAATAATGACATAATGAAGATGTTAACATTTCACACCATTTTTAAATAGAAGGTTTGGAAGGAAACACCATCAGTACTACTGGACCTGAGAAACCTGTTTTGCTAAAAAAGTGTTTTCAGAGAAATATTTTATAAATTTCAACCAAAAGCAGTACTCGCTGCTTGATCAATGAATGACAAATATTTCCTTATAAGGAAATGGCTAATATGGCTTTGCGACTGCTTGGTCTCACACTGTCTGCTAACCTGAGATGGAACAATTACATTGAATGAATTGCTTCATCCACCGCAAGGAAAGTTGGTTCCCTGTGTCACGCCAGAAAGTTTTTCTCACCCGAGTCCATCCATCAAATATATAAATCAACCATTCAGCCTTGCATGGAATACTACTGCCATATATTGTCTGGTGCCCCCACTGTTTGCCTTAAGGTCCTCGACAAAATCCAGAGACGGATGGATATGCAATGTGATTGGTCCTGATCTGGCATCTTGTCTACAGTTGCTCTCTCACAGATGTACCCTCCCTCTGTCTTTTCTACAAATACTTTCATGGTAACTGCTCCAACGAGCTACTTTTGCTAGTTCCCAGACTGCATGAATTTAAGTGTGCTACTAGGCTGGCCTCACAGTCCCATCCTTTCACTGTCAAAATGGTTAAATGTGGCCGTCTCTTCTACTCCAATAGCTTCATGTCTTGCACCTCCTGTCTGTGGAATTCCTTTCCTATTACTTGTTTCCATGATAGCTATAATCTCCAACTATTCAAATGTAATGTCAATTAACATCTCCAGATGCCCTGATCTATTCCCTGTCCTTCTCTTCATCCTTTCCTCCATCATACCTCTTTACTTTCACTCACACTCTCTGTAACCCTTGCATGCTAGTGGCATCCTGCCTTGCTTGGGGTGAAAAAACAAAAAAAACTATGTTTTAGAAATAATACTGAGTTGAAATGAAATTCCAACTTATTGCTTAGCATTTTCTTGAGACTGATAATTATATCAGTGAAAAAAACTGAATTTGCTTGAGAAATGAAAATTTTGTCTGCAACATTCTCTTTTGATCCAAAACCTTCAGTCATTAGTCTTTGTGAAAACATGCTTTTGATGGTCTATACTTGCAAAATTGTATTTTTTGTATGAGATTATGTCTGTTCTGTAAAATGAGGCAGATATCTGAAGTAAATATCAGCACTTTGCATAACTCACTCACTCACTCACTCATTCACTCACTCATTCACTCACTCACTCACTCAATCACTCACTCACTCATTCACTCACTCACTCACTCACTCACAAAGTAGAACATTTATTCAACTATTTCATGTTATGTTTATCTGTAATTCTGCAGCTTCAATTTAAAATTCACTTCAATATAATGTCTTTAGGATGTGATGATTTGCCTGATTTTATGAAATAAAAAAAACAAAGA